TTGGTTGGACCTGGGGCTGCACGCAGCTTTCCTCTCTCCGTTCTTCCTTCACCCCTCCCTCTCCTGCTGTACCATGCACCTTACGCTCTGCTGTATTGTCGTTCCTCGCTGCTCCCCCCTCAGATGATCTACCGCCCAGACACTGGGGAGATCCTGGGCGTGCACATTCTGGGGCTGCATGCAGCTGACCTGATTCACGAGGTCTCCAACGCCATGGCCACCGGCCAAACCCTCAATGTATGCACCGGCCACTTTACTATTATTATTATTATTATTATTATTATTATTATTATTATTTATTTTTTCACCTTGGTTTTACTCACCCCACTCCATTCAGGCCAGCAATTTTTTTACTGAACCCCATGCCATCCATGTCATTCTGTCTACCACGTGCACCATCCCATGCCATCCAATGCCATCACATGCCCACTCAAAATGTGCAGGACATCAAGTTCGCCGTCCATGCCCACCCAACTCTCTCCGAAGTCATTGATGAGCTTTACAAGAGCGCCAAGGTAGAGTCCATGTTATGCGAAATTTCTCATTCACAGTGCCATGGTGGTTGGGGTCACGTTTTTGCTCTTTCAGCATTAGGGTTGACTGTAACGCCTTCTCTTTTACTGTCTCCCTCCTGTTCTTCCTGTTTGCAGTATGGAGCGCATGCCTAAATGGAACTACAGAGCATCTAGGGCTCATGTAACAATTATGTCGTGCTTCGAAGTACGTTAGGTCTCCTCTCCCCAATCAATATGGGGAGGCAATTAGTTGATCAGGAACCCCATAATCGTTTTAGATTATTTACCTTCGAAGTTTGCTGCAATGTAGGATGAAAACATATACCTTACAAAATGGCATGTTTTGAAAACAGGTTAATGATAATTTTTTTGGCTGGTTCGAGTACCTCGTAGCGCAGATAATCCGAAACGAGGATATCTGGAAATTGTAATGTGACGCCTGGTCAAATTCAGGATTTCCCAGCGAGGCAATGCAGCAGTAGTACGTAGACACTGCAGTTCTAGTATCTTGTAGCTCCTAGAAATAGTCAGTTGCCCTAGCAGCGGGTTGCCATTCGTGTAATCGCATCCGCGTTAGAACGCGCGTCGTAAGCCTCGACTCAGTAGACCAGAGTGGAAGTTGCCGATGCTCATACCTTCTGCATATGCGAAATCTCGCGAATTCTCGAATCCATTAGTTTCCACGGTTCACACTGATACTGCAAGAGTCTGACCAACTCCTGACGTCAGCATCGTTCCTCTCTCCGTCAGAAGTCCGTTCATGATTCACAGAGCACACGCAGACTGACATCCGTTGATCACGAGCCAATGGCGGAATCTCCCAAGTCGCCGAACGCGTGGTCACCTTCCCCTAAAAGGTACGACCGCTAATAGACCAAATCTTGACGTCAGATCATCCTGGTCATTAGTAGACTAGTAGTCTCAACCGCTTCATGCTTTAGCATTGTTCCCGTTTAATCACCGCGGTACCTTTTAATCACCGCGGTACCTTTAAGTTACCGCGCATTGACTCTATGTTAAATTCCGGTTGCGTTGTCACGCCGCGCGGTTCCTGCATGGCTGCTCTCTTGGCTTCCAACGTCGTTCCCAGACGCGAAGTGAAGTCTGTTAGACAAGTGCCCGGGTTGGCAGCAGGATCACAAGTGGAACACGAGTAATTGGCAGCAGCAACGGCTTTTGAGACGTCTCAAAAGTCGTCTACTTACAAGTGGAACAGGAGTAATTGGCAGCAGCAACGGTCAGAAATGAGACGAGTTTTGAGTCGACTCAAAACTCGTTCCAGGTGTTTCTAAGACAAATGGATCAGGATCATTTGGCAGCAGCAACGGTCGGAAATAAGACGAGTTTTGAGTCGACTCAGGATTCATCTCAGGTGTTCTGGGACGAGTGTATCAGGATCAGTTGGCAGCAGCAACGCTAAAGATATTCAAGACGTGCCATCCTTGTTTGCTGCTGTCCCTGTTTCCCCTCTCCGTGTCTCTCTTTTCCTAACAGTCCCCCCTCGGCCAACTCTCAAGGAAAGTTCCTCGGCGTGTTTGGGTCAGGAAACGCAGGCGGATCAGGAGTATCAGGAGGGGGACTGGGGGGACTGGGAGCGAATGGCAATGGCAGCAGTGGCGGTATCAGCAGCAGCGGGATGGCACCTGGAGAGATGGGAGGAGGCGGGGTGATGGGAGGAGGAGCGGGAGTGGTGGGGGAAGGAGTGGTGGGAGGGGATATTGGGGGCGATGGCGTACCGATGGGACCTCATGTGCACCATCACGTGACACCTGATGGACGGTGGGTATGCATGACCATGGATGATTATGTGAGGATCATGGATGACTATGTGAGGACCATGGCTCCTCAAGGGGCGATGGCACACCGATGGGACCTCATGTGCACCATCACGTGACGCCTGATAAACGGTTGGTATGCATGACCATGACATGTCTATGTGAGGACCATGGCATGACTATGTGAGGACCATGGCTCCTCAAGAGGCAATGACATGCAGATGGGATCACATGTGCACTATCACATGATTCCTGATGGACGATTATGGAAGGCGTGTGACAAGTCGATTTTTTAGTCGACTGGAGCTCTCTGAGAAATGTCTGAACAACGATGACACCTGATGGACGATTTTGGAAGATAGGTCGGTTTCTTTCGCTCATATCAACGTTCCCTATCCACCTCACATCACTCCACGTCACCTCTCTCCACCTCTCCTCCCCCCTCCTCCCATCCCATCCCATCCCATCCCAGTGTAGTCGCATATGAGACGGTACAAGACCGCCTGCTGAACGTGTTCCGCAAAGCCGCAGGCTACATCTGGTCCTTCTCGCACACCGTTGCGCGCGTCGACGTCGTCCGTCCCATCACCACCTCCCACCGCCGCCGCCGCTACTACGATAACGATGACAATGGGAGGGGACCGGGCGGCATAAGCAGCAGCTACTTTGGCGCGAGGGATAGCTCGCCTGTGTGGCGGGCGAGGAGGCAGGGGGGGAGAGGGAGGAGGCCGGATGAGGACGAGGAGGGGGGGGTGATTCAGGGGATTAATCACGGGTTGTATGGGGAGGGGGCACGGCTGAAGCTGATGCAGATCTGGGACTTTCCGGATAAGGAGACTGGAAAGCCCAGGCTTCCGTATGGGCTCAACTTTGGAGGTGAGCTGAGCTTTCCTTGGGATGGTGTGCTGTTCTGCTCTTTGATGGCAAGTGTCATGGGGAGGGGGCGCGGCTGAAGCTGATGCAGAAATGGGACTTTCTGGATAAGGAGACTGGAAAGCCCAGGCTTCCATATGGGCTCAACTTTGGAGGTGAGGTTTTCAAGCGATGGCAGGATAATCTGCCATAGCATGATGATGAAATTGACTTGTCAGGGGGGTACCAATAACCTGACGCAGATTTGGGACTTTCAGGAGAAGGCGGCAGGAAGCATGGGGTACCGATGTGGGGACGCCGTACCCCATGTGTGTTTTTGAGACGTCTCAAAAACACCCTCTCTACACGAGGAAAGCATGGGGTACCGTACCGCTGTTGGGACGCCTTACCCCATGTGTGTCATGATGAGAAGGTGTAAGTGAGCCATGTGGTATCCTCGTGCGTGTCTGCCCACCTTGTGTCCTGTTTGAGCATTGTTACTCTTTTTCTAGTCCTCATTTTCCCTATGCCGTTGCACACCATGCATGCATTGCATGCATGCATATGCAAGTGCAGTGGGGGCGAATTACGAGGTGAACGGGAGTCGCCTGGAGCCAAAGCTGAGGATCCGAACCCCCCATGTGGCCCTGCACCTGCTTCCCGAGCCTGACATTGAGGTTCGGTGGAAGTGGAGGCTCGGCACCACCAACGTTGCTCTTGATGTTCGTTACACGTGAGTGAATCATTGAGTGGGTGAGTGAATGAGTAATTGAGCGAGCAAGTGAGTGAGTGAGTGAATGAGTATTTGAGTGAGCAAGTGAGTGAGTGAATGAGTGAGTGAGGATCTAGACATACGCTCCTTACTGACTGCTTCCCATCCCACCACTCCATCATGCCCCCTGCATTCCCTCAGCTGCTTTTGAGGCTCCTCAAAAAGTCCTCTCTGCCTGCTCCCCATCCCACCTCTCCATCATGCCCATGCGTTCCCTTAACTGTTTCTGGGGACTTCGCATTTCGAGTGCGGATGTCAGTGAGACTCCTCAACCCCAAATCACAAATGAACTTGTTACTCATAGCTTATCACCATACCCTCTCCCCATCCCACGTCTCCCAACCCCACCTACGCAGCCTGCCTTTGCGCTCCTTCGACCGCTTCTGGGATCGGGCAGCCGGAGTGGGGATGTCAGTGAACCTAATCAATCAAAGAGCACATTTGAGATCTGAGCATGTGATTCATGGCATATCACCTTCCCCCTCTCTCCCCATGCCACCTACGCAGCCTGCCTCTGCGCTCCTTTGACCACTTCTGGGATCGGGCAGCCGGAGTGGGGATGTCAGTGTGTCATTGAAACCCAAAGCACATATGAACATGTGACTCATAGCATATCACTGTGCCCTCTCTCTCTCATTCCTCGTCTCACCTCTGCAGCCTGCCTCTGCGTTCCTTTGACCGCTTCTGGGATCGGGCTGCCGGAGTGGGGCTGTCAGTGAACCTCTTCAACCCCATTGGCACGGGATTTCACCTCTCCCCCGGTGGTATGTTCTGACCCTGTAACACCACATAGCATCGCACACTATCTCGCAACATTTCACAGCTGGAGCGGGGCTGTCAGTGAACCTTTTCAACCTACAGGCTTCCATCTCTCCCCTGCCAGTATGTTTTGAGGCATCTCAGATCTTGAAGTATCTCACATAGTTTCATATAATTTCACATAATTTTACATAATCTCACAGAATCTCACACGGTCTCACAGCATCTCACACAACCGTCTTGTTCAAAACTCCCTGGCATCTCACGCCGCCTTGTTCACAGCCCCTTGGCCTATCTCATGCCGCTTTGCCCCATTCGGTGCTTCAGGATTGGAGTTTGACGAGCAGGTGGTTAAGTTAGGCAAGCACACGAAGCTTCGTCTGGCCGCAACGTTCATGTTTCCAAAACACCTGCCTTTGGAGGAAGACGAAGATCCAATCCGGGTGCGCGTCAACCGATTAGGAATCAAGACACGGCTAGCATGACGAAATGGATTCGATAGGAGAATATGAATTTGCATAGATTTAGGTAAGTAGCAGTAGTTAGGGACTGACTCTTGATTTGTGCCTCTATCCTATAGAACATGCTCTAGAATGTATAGAGCCCGTGAACTCTACTTTAGACTATAGTACAAGTGATTCAGTGGGATTTAGAATGAAGAGAGAAATGCGTCCGGCTGTAGCGCGAACGCGCAGGAGCTTTCGGGGTTGCGAGGAACGTTCGGTGGCAGACCTGACCTGTCCACCTGCCCCGAAGCACGTCTGTCAGGTCGGTGTCGCTGGCGGGAAAACAGCAGGCCAACCGCAAACGAGCGAAGGTTGTTCGGGCAGCCACACGGAAATTTTCACAAGCAATAGCACCTCAGAGTTTGTTTGGGCAGGTTAGTTCCGCTTCTTCTCGTCAACCTCGAGATTCTCCTGGCCCTAGTCTCTGGCGGGAAAATGGCTGGGCAGGGATGGAGAAGAGGAAGAGAAATCTGTGCGGTCATCGCACTGTGCCATGCCATAGTGGTTGTTGCAGAAACACAAGCAGGCGAAAGCAGGCTGATCCAGATTCTTTCTGACAACTTTCTGCAACAGATGATCAGTAAAACCCAAGAGATGTCTGAGAAACGCAGATATTCAGTTTCAGTGGACGAGGTTAGCAAGAGAGTTACACGTTGGTTCGAGATCCATGTCCGATCCCCTCAGTTCTTGCCGATCAGCAGTGATTATTTGAATTCATAAGAGGGCAAACTTGCCGTTTTTGGCCGCGTCCGTTTCCAAGAAAGAAGCGACCTGTTTGTTTTCGTGGTCTCTACCCCTGCAATCCTTGCGAAGCTCAAGTGCTAAGTCAGACATTCGTTAAGAATCCGAAAAAAACACTTACTGTTCTAAGGTCATACCAAATCTTCTTCATTCAATCGTACTCAGCAGATCAGATCTCACTTCTCAGTATCGTACCTTCCAGTAACATTTCGCCATGTCGGGTCGCAGCAAATTCACGAGCGTCAATCTCAACAGCTCCTTCGGGAGGCAGAGCTCATCTCAGTCGCAATCCGGTGCCGGGCAAACCACAGCCGTCGGATCCAGATTCGGTCGGACAGGATCGTTCGGGAGCATGATGGTGCTGGGGAAGGTCGCAACTCCCAGCGCGTTAGGGGCCAGCAAGAGCGGGAAGCTGGTCGTGCCGAAGCCGGTTAACCTTCCGTCGCTGCGACGGGAGCACGCGGGCAACGATCCGTCCGTCTCGCTTGTTCCCGCGAGCAGCACAGTCTCAGGATGGCAGAGACCGCTAGGAGGGAAGCCGCAAGGAGAAGGGACGTCTGCAGCTACTAATTCACTATCAGGATCTTCATCAGCATCAGCGACAGCAGCAACAGCAGCAGCGGCAGCAGCAGCAGCATCAACAGCAGGAGTATCAGCTGCAGTTCGTTCGTCAGGTGCGACACACGAGGCGCGACGGTGCGTCTCGCTCTCTCCTCCTCCTCAAGGTTTCGACTTCCCGCCGATTTCAGCAGCAGGAACAGCAGCAGCAGCAGCGGTCTCTGGAGCCGAGCCGAATGGCGCCTCCTCGGCGCACCGACCTGGGGTGTACCAACCACCAGGCTCACGTGGCGGTAGCAGTGCCACGTCAGCCTCCACGTCAGCTGTTTCGGCAGTTGGCAGCACCGGGGTTGTTTTACGTGGGGAGGATTTCCCCTCATTGGATGATGCGACAAAGAAGCCAGCAAGCGGTGTTACGGCGAGCGTCGGACGCGGTAAGGAGCAACAGGGCAAGAAGAAGACGAAGGCATTAGAGGCTAATAACGGGGATGAGCTGGCGCGATCGGCGCAGGAGCGCGGGGGAGGGGACGAGGCAGGTCGGGCGACGGGACGGTCCCAGGGTAACGATGCGGCGACGAAACGGGTTACCAGTGGGCGATGGGGTGACGAAGAATCGGATCACGAGCAGAACGAACGAGATCCTCTGTCCGGATCACAGCCTAACAAGGCGCCGGATTATATTGCCAGAGACCAAGGAGGCGAGGCTTCTGGCGATTCCGCTACTTTTGGTGGAGATAGGATGGACAGACATCCCCGTTATAAGGAGAACGAGAGACCGACCAGGCATGGCGATGGCATGCTTCCGCCGAATCGGTTCGGTCCGCCACCCGGGGGAGGCTTCCGCCGACCTTCCCCCCCGCGCAGAGCATGGGCGGACGATGAGCGGGACCTTGCGCCACCCCAACCCTATCCGCCGCCAGGGGGGAGAATGCCTTTCCCGCACAGATTTGACGGTCCGAGGGGTCACTTCGACGGTTATGGTCCCCCCATGGGTGGAGATCCGGGGGGGTTTCATGCTAACGGATGGGATTCTAGAGAGGGCTTCCGCGATTATGGGCCGAGAAATGGCGCCAGGGAGTGGCACGGGGATCCGCGGCACGGCGAGGCGGCCATGTGGCGCAGGGAGGACGCGCACGGATGGGCGGAACGGCCTCCCGCGGGGAGAGGCGGAAGAGGGCCGGGACCAGGGCCCCCAGGACCCCCAGGCCCCCCGGGTCCGCCGGGTCCGCCAGGCCCCCCGCCCCACCCAGGCCTCCCAGGTCCCCCGGGTCCCCCAGATCCCCGAGGCCCCCTGGGACAAGCGGGGCGGCCAGGGCCGTTAGGTCCGCCGGGGCCGCCGGGACTGCTAGGGGCGCCGGGGTCAGGAGCAGCAGGGGCCCCGCCAGGGCCGCCTTTCCCGGGTGAGTATGAGCGGTACGGCCCAATGGGGGATGGGGGGAGAGGCAGAGGGGGTAGTGGCGGTGGGTACGGTCCGAGGGGGGAATTTGCCAGGGGTTTCGGGCCAGGCCAGGGTTTTGGCCCCGGTCAGGGTTTTGGACCCAGTCAGGGGTTTGGTCCTGGTCAGGGTTTTCCGCCGGGTCAGGGTTTCAGGCCGAATAGGGAAGGAGGAGGGAGGGGCATGGGCCCGGAAGTTTTTGCCCATGGGCCGAGGCTGGAATTGCAGTCCCTGCCACGTGTAGGGGTTGAACCTCCGCCTAGCCTTGGGCTTGGTATGCTGGGGCAGCTGAGGCGAAAGAAATTGGAGGGCGAGGGTGGGCGGTCGGAGTTTCGAGATGTGGAAAGAGAGCGGTTTGAAGCGGAGCTAGAGATGCTGCAGTCGCAGAAAGATAAGGAGAAGGTGAGGAAGGAGGAGGAGGAGCAGCGGACGGCGGAGGTGGCGAGGCAGCAGCAGGAGGAGGCGGTGAGGAGGGGAAGGGAGGAGGAGGAGAAGAGGCGTAGGGTGGAGGAAGGGGAGAGAGAGGCGGCGAGGAGGGTTGCGGTGGAGGAGGAGGAGGCGGTGAGACGGGTGGAGGAGGAGAGGAGGAGAGTGCAGGAGGAGAAGCGGAAGATTCAGGAGGAGGAGGAGAGGAGGAAGGAGAATGCGAGGAGGAAGTTGGCTGAGTTGGAGGAGCGCATTGCAAGGAGGAAGGCTGAGGAGGAGGAGAGGAAGAGAAGGGAGGAGGGGAAGGAGGAGGAGGGGAAAGGGGGGGAGGAGGGAAAGGGAGCAGAGGAGCAGTGTGGGGCGCTGATTGGTGCTGGGCTGGAGCAGCAGGGTGGGGCCTCGGTGAGTGCGGCGGAGTTGGGTCTTGAGGAAAAGAGTGCGGTGCTTGGGGAGGGGCGAGAACATGCGGTGGAGATGCAGGGGCAGGAGCAGGGGCAGGAGCAGGGGCTTGGGCAGAATGGGCAGATTGAGCAACAAGGAAAAGTCGCACCAGAATGTTCTCAAGAGGAAGGAGCTGCATTTGGGGCTAAGCCTGCTGATCGTGATGGCGGCAGCATCCAGGAAACTTCTGAGTCAACTCAAGAGGCTGGTGGTGAGGCTGAGAGCGGTCAAGAGATTGCAGATAAGGACGAGAAGAATGGAATTGTTGCTGACGTGGCAAAAGGTGACACGTGGGCGGATCGCGAGGGGGTTTGTGGTGAGGAGAAAGCGATAGGGGGCGAAGTGGGAGGGGTGGGTGGGGAGAGGTTTCAAGAGGAGATGAATCAGGTCGGGGGAGAGGGAGGAAGAGGGGTTGAGGCAGGGGAAGGAGGCGACTCCCAGCTGAACCTGCACAAAGCACAGCAGCAGGTGCAGCAGAAGGAGCACCAGGAGCTGCAGCAGCAGCAGCAGCAGCAGCAGCAGCAGCAGCAGCAGCAGCAGCAGCAGCAGCAGCAGCAGCAGCAGCAGCAGCAGCAGAAGCAAGAGGAGCAGCAGAAGCAGCAGGTGGGGCCTTTGGCTGGGTCCGCCCCTGTCCCATCACTCTATCACGTGAGTGCGGATGCGAGGCAGAAAGGCATGGGCGAGGGACAGCAAGACGCGAGTCAGCAAGGCAACCACACAAGTACTCAGCGGCTCTTTGACCCTAGTGTTCGCACGGAAGGGCCTTCGGCTGGGAAGTATGCGGGTGGTGAGACTCATATGAAAGGCGAAGGCTCAGACCGGGCCGGGTTTGGGTTTTCGCCGTGGAATCAGCATCAGCTGCAGCAGTACCAGCAGCAGCAGCAGCAGCAGCAGCAGCAGCAGCAGCAGCAGCAGCAGCAGCAGCAGCAGCAGCAGCAGCAGCAGCAGCAGCAGCAGCAGCAGCAGCAGCAGCAGCAGCACCAGGTGCAGGGACTTTCGTTTCCTGCGTATGGGTTTCCTGGCCCAGGCCCTCTCTTGCGCTCCCATCAGTTCGCCCCACCATACCCCCACTTCCCTGCGATGCAGCAGCAGCATATGCACCCCCACCCCTTCCACCAGCCATTCCCGGGGCAGCAGCAGCAACAACAGCAACAGCAGCAGCAGCAGCAGCAGCAACAGCAGCAGCAGCAACAGCACCAGCAGCAACAGCACCAGCAGCACCAGCAACAGCAGCACCAGCACCAGCAGCACCAGCAGCAGCAGCAGCAGCAGCAGCAGCAGCAGCAGCAGCAGCAGCCACCGTTGCTGCACCGGCCGCCTGGGCTTGCTCCTGGGTTTCTCGCCCATGGGAATTCTGGCCGCGGCTTTGCCTCATTTTCTGACAATACCCCAGCAGTGGGAGCAGTGGGGCAAGCGGGGCCAGTAAATTCAGTGGGTACTGTGAATTCAGTTTCAGCTGGAGGAGCAGCAGGGGATGGAGCAGGAGGAAGAGGAGCAGCAGGAGGAGGAAGGGAAAGTGGTGGTGTGGCAGCGGGTAGGGCGGGGCACCAAAGGAAGGACGGGTTTGGAGGGAGAGAAATTGGTGGTGGGAGAGAGGCAGGCAGTGGAAAAGAGATGGGCAGTCAGGGACAGAAACAGTTCGCAGAGATTGGGAATGGTGGTGGGGTGGTGGTGAGGGACAGTCGATGGGGAGAGTCTGGGTCCGGGCAGTATATGGAATGGAGAAGGATAGGCCCTGAACCTGCTCCCGGTATTTTTCTTGGGCAGGCTCGGCAGCCTGGAGCAGAGCAGTGGCAGGGGCGGGCTGGTTTCGGGCAGGAGGAAATTTCTGGAGGATCAGGACGGGCAGAAGGGCGAAATTGGGCAAATCAACTGAATGGAGTAGGAGGGAGGGATGGGCATGAGAGGAGGGGAGAGATGGGGCAGCAGATATGCAATTTAGGGTTGCAGGTGGGGAAGGTTGAGGGAGAGGGGAGGGCAGAGGGGAGGGAGAGGGGAGGGATGGGGGGGATGGGTGTGGAGCATGACTCGGAAATGAGTGAATCTGAGAGTCTTCCTGCTGATGTGGTGAATGAATTGGGGGCGCTGCTGTCAGATCGAGACGAGGGTATGTCTGATAGAGAGGAGGGACTCCTGGGTGATCATGAGCGGGAGGTGATAGGTGGAGAAGAGAAGGAGAAGATGGGGGGAAACGAAGGACCTGATTCTGTTCAAAATGAGGGAGCGGTGGGTGATCAGGGAATTGTGGGTGGTAAGGGAGGGGTGGAAGCGGAGGGGAAGCAGCTTTCAGTGAGAGATGGAGAGAGGGCAAGTGGGGTTGAAGAAAGTGGGAGCGGGACTGCCCCTGCTGCTGCATCTGCTACACTGGCTGCACCTGCTGCTGCATCTGCTGCTAGTGCTGCTTCCAAGCCAATCCTCCCGTCCCTGATGCTTTCTTCTGGAGCCCCTTTTGTCATTCAAATTGGTTCTGTACCTCTCACTGTTGGCGGTCCTGCCCAGCTGTCCGGGCAGAGTGAAACTTCTGGAGCGTGCCCTGTGCCGATGTTTCAGTTCGGGCAGATTGGGGTGCCGGCATCAGTGTCACCTCCTCTGCATGCCGGTGGTCGACCCACTGGGTCTGATGTTTCAGGGATAAGCACGCAAAGAGACATGCCACAGCAGCCGCCACTGAACCAGCAGCAGCAACCACCAAAGCAGCAGCAGCTGCCACCACCAAACCAGCAGCAACAGCAGCAGCAGAAGAGTGAGGGAGCAGCTGATCAGGTAGCTTCGAGGAAGGAGGTACCTGTGCAAAGAGTGGTGGCACTAGAGCCGTTGCTGCCCCTTCCAGTTTCAGCGGCTGTTCCTGGCAGTGGTGGGGCAGCAGCAGCTGCACTGCCAGCAGCAGCAGGATCGACAGCGGCAGCACGAGTAGGAGCAGGAGTAGGAGAAGGAGCAGGAGCAGGAGCAGGTGGGGCAGCAGGAGCAGCAGCACCAGGAGCAGTGGTGGTGGGAGGGACGGTAGGCGGGGAGCAGAAGGATGGTGCTGGTGCAGGTGTGATGGTGGCTGATCGCAGGCAAGCAGTGGGGCGGGGAGGGGGGGTTCAGAGGAAGGGGAAGGAGCAGCTGAGGCAGGGAGGATTCGAGGGAGGTAGGATTGCGGTAGAGGCTGAAGGAGACGTTTTGGCGATAGCTGCATCGGCAGCAGCAACACAACCAGCAGCAGCTGCAGCTGCAGCTGCGGCAGCAGCAATAGTGGGGCCGGTTGTAGGGGTGAGCAGTGGTAAGGGGGCAAGGGGAGGAAGGGGAGCGAGGGGTGGTCATGCAGGGGGGCAGGTTGGGCAGGTGCAAGGGCAGGCACAAGGGCAGGCACAAGGGCAAGTACAAACAATCTCAGCCCAAGGCCGTGGCAAAGGCAGGGGTGTGGTTACTACTGCCCCTTCTGTGCCTGGAGTGACTGCTCGATCCGGACTTGCAGCCTCGGTTGCTGGTGCGGTAAATGGTCCGGTAGCTGGCTCGGTGACAGGTGCGGCAGCTGGTCCGGTGACAGGTTCGGCGGCAGCTCCGGGGCCTGGTTCGGCAGCAGGCACGACTCCTGCTTGGTTTGTTGCTCAGATCGTGAGGGTTCAGGAGGCGAGGGTAGGACAGTATCTTGAGGTGCAAGGAGCAGGGTATTCTGAGATTCGAGGGAGTGATGGTGTGGTGGTGAGGACGAGGATTGGAGGAAGGGGAGGAGGCGGGGATAGGAGGAGGGGTGGCGGAAGGGGGGGAAGGGGAGATGTGGTGGGGAGGCAGGTGGGGGAGAGAGGAGGGAAGGGAGGAGAGAGTGGGGGGAAGAGAGAGGAAGTGGGTGTGAGAGTACAGGGTGTGAGTGTAGTGCAGGGTGATAGTAAGGGAGTGAGCAGGGACCGTAATGACGCTCAGGTGAAGCAGGCAGCTGTAGCTGAAATTGTGGCCAAAATTGTTGCTGAAAGTGCAACTGTGGCTGAAACCTCAGCTGGAACTAAGGCTGAAAGTGTAGCTGAAACCGTTGCTGAAGCTGCAGATGCTGCTGCTGATGGTGCAAGTGGGTTGGTGCAGCCAGGGTCCTCACCAGGGGTGACTGCTGGGCCTGCTAAAGGAACAGAGCATCTGGCAGGTTCCGAGAGTGAAATGGCTTCAGGTTCTTCTTCAGGTATTTTTTCAGGTGGTTCAGACAGTGGAGTGTCAGAGGTGGAAGGGGTTTATGAGAGTGCGGAGGGGTCTGAAGGGGGGGAGGAGAGAGGGGAGCATGAGGTTGGGAGAACAGAAGAGAGGGAGCAGCAAGAGAAGGAGCTGAAACAGGAAGGCAAAGAAGAAAAGGGGGCGGCGAATGGGCAAAGGGAGGGGGAGGTGACAGGAAGCTCGGACTCACAGCTCAACTCGAAGGGGGGAAATTCAGTAGTCAGTGCAAACGGGGATGGGATTCAGCAATCACAGCCCGTTTCAGGTGACGGAGACAAGCAGAAGCAGCAGCAGTCGAAGCGAGCAGTGAGCATTTGTCGGCCCTTCTCCATGTTCCCAACCGCCTTCCTCTCCTCCTTGGGGTTCCTCTCTGGCGCCTCCTCCTCCGCCTCCTCCCCTTCCTCCACCTCTCCTCCCGCAGGGAAAACGTCAGCAGAGGCCCCATCGAAAGCTGTATCCCAGGGACCAAGTAATGCATCAGTGCAAGCCCCAGAAGGATCAGAAGGACCAGGAGAAAGAGCAGGGCCGTCGGTGGGGGATAAGTCACAGGCAGCCACAGCAACAGATGATGATTCTGGTGCTGCACCTGCTGGTGCTGCTGGTCTGAGTGTGGGTGTGTCGCCTACAGCAACTAAAGCAGCAGCAGCAACAGCAGCAACAGCAGTAGCAGCAGAAGGCGCAGTGGAATCTGCATCTGGGAAGGCTGCTGCGGGTGGTTCTTCTCCAGCTGTTTCAGCAGGAGGCTCCCAAGTGGAGCCCCGCGCAGGGTATAGGGGCAGAGAGAGGAAGGGGAAGAATTCGGGTGGGGGGAAGGAAGGGGCGGGAGGGGGGAGGACTGGGCAGCAGGGCAGCAAGCAGCGGGCAGGCGTGAGGACAGAGGCTCCTGAAGCTGGATCTGGTGCTGGCGGCAGCAAGAGTGGTGGAAGCAAGGAGGAGAGAAGAGAAACGGGTCATGGGCATACGAAGCTTGACTGGCTGGTCTCAAGGCTGGAGAATCTAGGGGATTCGGAGGTGCCGCTGGGAGGAGGGATAGTGAAGGTTTTTGAACAGGTTGGGGTCGAGCATGGGGAGGGGGAGGATGATGGGGGGTTTGTTACTGTGCAGTCGAAACGGGGGCGGAGGGAGCAGCGGGAGAGGGAGCAGAGGGAGAGGGAGCGAGAGGAGAGGGAGAGGGCGAGGGAGAAGGAGAAGGAGAGGGAAAGGGAGAGGGAGAAGGAGAGGGAGAAGGAGAGGGAGAGAGAGCGGGAGGCAAAGGCTCGAAGGCGGGAGCAACGTGTAAGTGCAATAGCATGTGCTGCACTTGCAGCCTCATATAGGGTACTTATCCTAGCTCTGCCAGTATCGCTTTGCTTCTCTTCCTTTTCTGCTCTCCTCCCTCCCCTCTCTCCCCCTTCTTTTCCTGGTATGTAATGCTATGCTCCTGTTTCCGTTTTCTTGAATTCTGAATGTGTTTTACTGCAGATGAAGGAACAGCAGCAGCAGCAGCAGCAGCAGCAGCAGCAGCAGCAGCAGCAGCAGCAGCAGAAGCGCAAACACCCAGTCAATGCTGGGGTTGGTGTGACCCTCCCTGCTACAACGGCTGCTACAGCTTCGGTTGAAACTGCAGTCATGGTTTCTATTGCTGCTGCTGCTGCTGGTGATGAGCAGGTAAGCTTATCAGCCTTCCTTTTTCAAGCCTGCATGTTTGCAAGACCACATAAATTGTCCTGCCTCCTTGACCGGAACATGTGTTTCCGTCCTCTCCCGTTGTCCTGAACATGCTATTTTGTCCTCTCTTTTTTTTCTTTTCTTTTTTTCTTGTGCAGATTCCTCCTCATCTTCCCGCCCCTGAGCCTGTGAAAGCCACTCCTGCATTGCTTTCTGCAACTGCATCAAGAGCTATCCCTGTCACGCATGCTGTGCCAGCTGTGGCACCCCCTCCCATGATACTTGTCACTCCTCCCATGGCTGCTCCGGTGGCTGCTTCAGTGGTGGTTGCTTCGGCGGTTGCTCCGGTGACTGTTCCAGTGCAACCCCAGCAGACGCACCAGCAGCAGCAACAGAATAGCGAAGAGCAGCAGAAACAGCAGCAGCAGCTGCAGCAGCCGCAGCAACAGGAGCAGGGAGAGCAGGGAAGGGGGGAGCAAGGAGAGCAGGCGCAGAGGAAGGGGCAGCAGAAGCAGAGCCGGCAGAGGGGCAGCAGGGGAGGTAAGGGCGACAGGGCAGGGAAGCAGCGTCAGGAATGGCGTGTGGCTGGAGTTGCTGCTGTGGGTTGTGATCAGCTGCCAGCTCAGCAGCAGCCAGCTCAGCAGCAGCCAGCTCAACAGCAGCCGGCACAGCAGCAGCCATCTCAGCAGCAGGTGCAGGAGCAACCAGAGGAGCTGCTGCAGCAGGAACGTGAAGGACAGGGGTTGGAGGAACAGCAGCCACAGACAGGACAGCAGCAACAGCAGCAGCAGCAGCAGCAGCAGCCGCAGCAGCCGCTGCAGCAACAGGAACAACAGAAGCAGGTGCAGGAGCAGCAGCAAGAGGAGCAGGAGCAACAAGAGCAGCAGCACAAGAAAGACGAGGAGCAGCACAAGGCAAGGGTTGAAGTAGGTGCGGTGCCGCAACAGCTGAACCAGCATCAGCAGCATCATCAGCCGCTGCTGCAACAGCAGCATGACCAGGGGCAACAGCAGGAGCAGGAGCAGGGACAGCAGCAGGAGCAGCCGCAGAAGCAGCAGCAGGAGGAGGGGCAGCAGCAGCAGCAGCAGGAGGGGCAGCAGTTGGGATCAGCCCCAGGTGATGGGTTCAGTCCTGCTAATGCCATGCCCCCCTTTCCTGTAGCACCAGGAGCTCTGCCCGCTGCTGGTGCCCCTAGCTTCCACCCCGTGCATGTGTTCCCAGGCATGCTACCCCATCAGGCCATGGTGAACCCGCAGGGTATGGTGAACAATCAAGGTATGGTCAACTATCAGGGCATGATGGCACATCAAGGGATGGTGCCCCATCAGCCCGTGTCCCATTTCCCCATGCCCCAGCTGCATGCAATTCCACATGTGGCCCATGGTATGCCTGGCCATGCCATGCCAAACCATGCCATGCACCCTACTCATGCCACGCCAAACCATGCCATCCACTCGGGTCCTCCCATGATGCTCTTTCCTGGGCCTCCTTTTCCCAACGGGCAGTTCGGGCAGGTAGGTCAGCCCATGCAAGCAGGCATTCCCCAGTCAAATTTTGGGCCGGTTGGAGGAGCGGGGCAGGAAGGATTGGGGCAGGTAGGTATGGGGCAGGTAGGAGTGGGGCAGGCAGGTATGGGTTTTCCTATGTCACAGTATGGCCAAGGGGTGTATAATGTGAGTGCGAGCACCCAAACGTACATGGAGCATCAGCAGCAGCAGCAGCAGCAGCAGCAGCAGCAGCAGCAGCAGCAGCAGCAGCAACCAACGCAGAAGAAAGAGGAGGGAAACAGCCAGAAAGGCAGGCAGAGGCAGAAGCAGCGGCACAAGCAGCAGCAGGGAGGGGTGGGCGAAAGGGGAAACCAGTCAGTTAATCAGTCTCAGTCGCAGACTGATGCGTCGCGCTCGCGATTTGAAGTGCCTGGCAGCATGGGTCGTGCTCGTGGTGGTGTTGTTCCCCCACCGCGGTTTCAGCAGCAGCAGAGTCAGCAGCAGCGGCAGCAGCAGGCGCAGGGGCATACGCAACAGCAGTGGCAGCAGCAGCAACGCTACATGCAGCAACAGCAGCAGCAGCAGCAGCAGAGCGTGAATGATGGTTCTTCAGTGACGGTGCCCGGTCAGCAGCCACCTCGGTCACAGGTAGTGTTCCCTGCTTCACCTGCCTTTGCCTCTTGTGTTTGGATTTTTTTTTTTTGGTAGCATTCCCGCTTCACCTGCCTTTACCACTTCTTATGCAAATACTAGAAAATGTAGTGTTCCCTGCTTCACCTGGTTTGCCTCTTACCGCCGCCGTTCATTCATCATTCCTCTCCACGCTCCCAATTCCCTGCAGATCTCACAACAGCAGCCCTTACAGCAGCAGTCCATGCCTTACCTCTGGCCACACCTTCCCCAGTTTCCACCTCCCCCAGTAGGCCCTGCACCCCCCCTTCCCCCCATGGGTCACTCCCTGCTCCTGTTCCCTCCGCCCGCTCTGCTCTCCTCTCAACACCCCCAACCCCAGCCAACTCAACAAACTCTCTCACCAGCGCCGCCCCTGCTTTCCGATACCAGCGCTCCAGGTTCGGAGCTAGGCTTAGGGAAAGGTAGCAGGGGGGAGAGCGAGAAGATAGGGGAGGGAAGCTCGGTGAAGGAAAGCGGGGAAGCTGCTGCTGCTGCTGGTGTTGGCGACGGTGTTGACAAAACAGATGCTGCTGTTGCAGCAACAGCAGGTGACAGCACTGCTGCTTCTGCTACCATTACTGCTCCTCCTTCTGAATCTTCTCACAATGCCGCCGCCACCAGCGCGATTGACGATCACCGGTTCCCAGAGACGCTGGGAGATGGGGACACCACGTTGACTTCCTTGACTGCCTTGACTCCAGCCACCGCACTCAGCTCCTCTGCACCGCAGCCAACTGCTCACAACCTCTCCTCTCGGCCTCTGCTGCACTCGCACGCCCAGCATGCCCTGCCTCCCCTGCAGCCTGGTGCTTACCGTGGGCCTGTGCTTGGGGTGCCAGGGCTGCAGCAGTCTGGAGTGGTGGTGCAAGGGAGCATGGCAGGAGCAGCAGCACTGGCACAGGCAGGAGCACAGACAGCACCACAGTCAATGGCACAGTCAGCAGCATCACAGTCAGCAGGATTGGGGATGGTAGGAGCGGGTGGTTTGCCTGTTCCTCTTCCCAACGTCTACCTTTCACAGCTTGGGCCTGTACCTGTAGGAATGGCAGGAGGTCTGGCGGGAGGAATGGCAGGAGGAATGGCAGCCTCACAGCAGTATGGAAATAGGTTCGGAGGAGGCTCGGACCAAGGCATGGGCTACTACCAAGGCAGGCCTGCTGGCCCGGGTGGGAACAAGAGGCGGCCTCGCCAGCCGCCGAGGCTCACCCGAGCCTCCGGTGGAGGTTCGGGAGGAGATGGTCTGGTTGGTAACCAGCAGGGTAGTGTGATATCTGTCAATCAGCCAAGTCTGAATGGACAGGGGGGTTTGATCCCACACCAGCATGGCTACTCTGGGTAGCGAAGGTAATGCACAGGGGAGCGTATGGGTGTGGTGGTAAGGGAGTAATGGGGGGGAACAGGAGCAGGGCTGATGGGTGGGTACTGTGGGGAGGGGAGAGGCATGGATGCATTGGAATTGTGGGGAATGAGAGGCAGGCAGTAGCATGAGAAAGCTGCAAAACCCCAGCACGTGTTGTTTTGTTTTCTGGGCAGCTCAGCTTAAGGTTGGACCTACCTAGTTTATGGGTTGACTTGTTTGGCTGCATGATTGCTTTGATTTGATTCTTGATTCCGGTTTGGTGTTAGGCTAGGTTGATTTCCTAAGAGTTTCCCTAAAATTGTACATCAGTGTGTGCCAGGATGGAACATGAGGTGACTTGTGCTGTGCAGAAGTGATGGTATGCGAGATGTGTAGTGTTTGTAGTATTGAGGGTTCTAATTTTCCCCATTTACTTCCTACCTTCATTTTGTAGCTCGTAAGGTACTTTGTTTGTGCGGGTTTACTTTTCCGTGCACTGTAGTATGCGAGTGAGTTACGTTGGGTTTGGGTTTTACTCTGCTTCACCTGATCGGCAATCTCAGGGCACACGCTGTGGTGATCACGTCACGGTTCTCTGATATCGCGATTTCCTGACATTCTGGTCCTTCTTTTCCTGACACCTGCGAGGGTGGCACCGCGATCGAGTCCTCCTACTTATTCTTGAAGTGAATAACCTGCACTGCTTCCCTCTTCGACGTTAGCTCCAATGGCTCCACCAGCCACCGCGAAAGCTTCCAGTGAGGTGTGTGATTATCGTTATCGTTCCGACCGACTAGATACTAACTTATGATCCCGTCCGACCAGATTCCGGCGTAGTTGCAATGACTCCTCCTCGCCATGCCTAATCCTTGTGCAATCAATGTCCTCTCCCAGATCGCGCGAATGTCGGCATATTGCGATGGAATAGGTTCTTTGTAACCTCATCTTAGGAACGGCATCCCGGCTCTAATAGTTACAAAAGCTACTAGCATGGTTTTCGAGGCGTTACAAAAAGTTTCGACTCGTCTTTAAAGTGACGTCTTCCTAGGGACGATATCGTAGTCTCGTACGTGGGGAAATCCAGCAGGGTTTCTTGAACCCACTGACTCGCGCGGTTCGACGAGTGTCGCTTCTAGCCTAGAAAAGGAATTCGAAATTCTTTAGACTGCGAGTATTCGATGTTCGCGGCGACGGTTTAGAGTCGTTTCGTGAGTCAAGCAGCCAACGCCTTTCACACGATCACTCGTTAACCCGATTCACCTGATTGCTCTTAGATATGCTCACCAGATTCGGTCAAGGAGCCAGCGCTGATCACACGATCACTTGCTCAGCCTTAGATACGCTTACAACATTCTTTCCTTGTTGATGCGTCTTGCCATCTCCCATTCTAATCCGATGGGGCCTTTCCCGTTTGATACTTCAACCCCATTATTTCTGAGAAGCATCTTTCAGGCAGCACGAATTCGTTCATTCGCCGCAAACGCGTCTCCCCACCATCCCCCACTTCCCCTTCTGCATCTCGTCTCACCTCTCCCCCTTCACAGGCTCAGCCGCAGGAGGGAGCGAAGAGCCACGTGCGGAGGGACCTGCTGCTGCAGATTCAGGCAGCCGTGCAGAAGCAGTGGGAGGAGGAGAAGGTGTTCGAGGCCACGGCCAAGGAGGGAGCAGCTGCGGGGTCTGGCCCGCGTGATGATCGCTTCTTTGGCAACTTCCCCTACCCCTACATGAATGGGCTGCTGCATCTGGGTCACGCGTTCACCCTCTCCAAGGTGAGACTGAGTCACCGAGGCCTGTGTTACACAGCTGCGGGGTCTGGCCCGAGGGATGACCGCTTCTTTGGCAACTTCCCCTACCCCTACATGAACGGCCTGCTGCACCTGGGCCATGCCTTAACTCGTTCCAAGGTGAGAAAAACTGCTCTGCACAGTACATGGTTCGTGTGTGGTCGACTTGTATACGCCTCTTCCCCCCTATTCCTGAATGAACGGGCTGCTGCATTTGGGCCATGCGTTCATTCTCTCCTAGGTGAGAATTGTTTGACATGCTGTGCTGTGCTTTGCCGTTCCGTATTGTGCACTGCATTTAAACTATGCGTTTTCCAGAAGCCGCAGCAGCAGTAGCAGCAGCTTACAATCGCCCAAGTCACACACTCTTCTTTCCAACCAAACAAACCCCCTTCTCCCATCCCGCACCCGTTGCACCTATTTCTCCGTCCTGTCGCGCCTCCTGCAGGTGGAGTTTGCAGCGTCGTACCACCGGCTGAGGGGAGCTAATGTGTTGTTCCCCTTCGGCTTCCACTGCACTGGCATGCCCATTAAGGTGCGTGCGTGCTGCATGATAGATAAGACTTCGTTGTTCTGTAATCGAATCATTGCACGCATCGTGCTGTTCCCCTCCCCTTCGGTTTCCAGTGCATTGGCATCTCCTGTAAACCGCCACCCCTTCCCTCCACACCAGGCGTGTGCGGACAAGCTAGCACGTGAGATGGACACATACGGCTACCCGCCCCAGTTTCCCAGCGAGGAGGAGACGGCAGCTCTGGAAGCGCTCTCCATTGCGGAGGGCAGTGCTGCTGCAGAGGGGGGGGATGGGGCGGCCGCGGACGGGGCTAAGGGGGAGGAGCAGAAGGCTCCTGGGCAGTTCAAGGGGAAGAAGGTGAGGTTTTCTGCCCGGCGTGGATAGGTGGGGTGGAAGTGATGATTTTAAAATTTCATCTAAGGGGTTAGATGAGGGGATGGCGGTGGTAATGGTGTCAGTGTGTAGGTCTGGGACCGAAGCTCACAACTTTGTCAACATCTCATCAGCATCCCTGCCCCTAATTTTGCACCCCTTTCTCCCTCCCTCTCATCTCTTCCTCGCCCCTCCCTGCCCTTCCCCCTAATTTCCTGCCCACTCCATTCCCCCCTGCCTCCTTCGTCTACCTCTTCACACCCCTTCACACATACACGGCTGTGGCTGTGGTGCTTCTGTCTCGCGTCTCCTCCTGCTTCTCCACGCTCGACTGTGGCTGTGGCGTTTCACGCTGCCAGTCCAAAGCTGCTGCCAAGACAGGAACGGCCAAGTACCAGGTAAGAGAGGTGGCAGTAGGGGTTGCGGAGCCGGTTGGGGGATGTGGCACAGTTGGTAGGGGTATGTGGCATCATGTGACATGAGGTGAAGTCATGTTGGTCATGCATAACCGTGGTCCACAGGCCATCCGGGCATGACTGACGATCACATATGCGTCTAAACCTCTCAGTGTGCATGCCTCGTTCTCTTCTCTCACCCTCTCTGACCCCGCTTCAACCTTTCTCACCCATTTCATCCTTATGATTCTCACCCCTCTACAATTATCCTCACCCCGTTGCACCCCCTATTCCTCACCTGTACTCATCCTTTCTCGCACCTTCTCACCCGCTCTTACCCCTTTCCAACCCTTCACACCAGGTTCCACCCTATCTCACCTCTTTTCCACCCCTTCTCACCCCTTCTCATCTCACCGCCAGTGGGAGATCATGCGGTCCATGGGCATGTCAGACGAGGAGATCAAGCCCTTCAAAGACCCTGCGCACTGGCTCACCTACTTCCCCCCTATCGCTGTGGTATGTACCATGTATATGCTGCTGCTGCTGCCGCCGCTGCTGCTACTGCTCTCTGCTATGCTTTGCTCTGAATCGTCTCGGAATTAGCCCTTGCTGCTCACTGGCTCACCAGCTTTCCCCGTTTTCATTTTGTGGCACCTTTACATTTCTCCTTGAACCCTTTCGGTCCCCTTACCATCTGTCTTTCCATATTCCCCCATTGCGCATGCTCTCAGGACGATCTCAAGGCGTTTGGGCTGGGAGTGGACTGGCGCCGTTCTTTCATCACCACGGACATGAACCCCTACTATGACTCCTTTGCACGCTGGCACCTGCAGACACTCTACAACAAGGGCAAGGTAGGTGGCACGTTGATGGGTGCATGTTGATTGGTGCACATAGGTAGGTGGGACCGTTCCTTCCATAACCACGGACATGAACCCCCACTATGACTCCTTTGCTCGCTGGCACCTGCAGTCGCTGTACAACAAGGGCAAGGTGCGTGGCATGGGCAAGGTGGGTGCATGCTGATGGGTGCACATAGGTGGGTGTCCCCCTCCCTCGTCACCACAGACATGAACCCCCACTATGACTCCTTTGCTCGCTGGCACCTGCATTCGCTGTACAACAAGGGCAAGGTAGGTGGCTGGCATGGGCAAGGTGGGTGCATGCTGATGGGTGCACATAGGTGGGTGTCCCCCTCCCTCATCACCACAGACATGAACCCCCACTATGACTCCTTTGCTCGCTGGCACCTGCAGTCGCTGTACAACAAGGGCAAGGTAGGTGGCATGGGCAAGGTGGGTGCATGCTGATGGGTGCACATAGGTGGGTGTCCCCCTCCCTCATCACCACGGACATGAACCCCCACTATGACTCCTTTGCTCGCTGGCACCTGCAGTCTCTTTACAGCAAGGGCAAGGTGCGTGTGAGGCGTGGCATGTAAATAGGAGCTTGTTGATGGGTGTTCCTTCCTGCACGTCTCACCCTCTCGCCCCTGGGTGGGCATCTGTGTGCGTACCATGACAGGGTGAATATGTTTTTTTTGAGAATTCTAAAAAAAAAAAGGATGGGCATCTGTGCGCGTACCATGACAGGGCGTGCCTCGCTCTCACTCACTCCTCCCTCCCCCCACTCCACTCCACCCCCTTGAATCTCCGCTGCTCTTCCCCTTGCTCTTCCGCTGATCACCAGGTGGTGAAGGACCGGCGCTACACCATCTTCTCGCAGCTGGACGGGCAGCCCTGTGCGGACCATGACCGGGCGTGCCTTCCCCTCGCTCCATCTCTACCCCTATTTCCTCCCTCTTGCTCTCCCTCCCTCTTGCTCTCCCTCCCCGCTCCCCCCCACCAGGTGGTGAAGGATCGGCGCTACACCATCTTCTCTCCTCTGGACGGGCAGCCCTGTGCGGACCATGACAGGGCGTCAGGGGAGGGCGTACTGCCTCAGGAGTACACGCTCATCAAGATGCAAGTCGTGCCGCCGCTCACAGGTAAGTGGTGTGGTGTGGTGTGGTGTGGTGTGGTGTGGTGTGTCATAAACCCTTCTAGGCCTTGTGCTCTAGTGCACCATCACAGAGCCTCAAGGGAGGGGAGGGCTGTCAGGGGAGGGCGTGCTGCCTCAGGAGTACATGCTCATCAAGATGCAAGTCGTGCCGCCGCTCACAGGTAACCACGGGCAGGGGTGTGAGGGGAGGGAGTTCTGCCCCAGGAGTACACGCTCATTAAGATGCAAGTCGTGCCGCCGCTCACAGGTGTATTTTTTTAACTAGCTTTTCTAGCACAAGCTATATGTGCTACTCACTCACGTATTCTTTCCCTCAGTACTCACGTTTCCCCCCCTCCTCCTCCCCCCCCCCTCCCTTCCCCCCAATTCTCCCAGCCTCCCTCCCATCCTTCAAAATCCCAAAACCCCAAAAATAGCAGATTTCCTGTTTTCCTCCCACGCGACCCCCAACCAATGCCAGGCAAGCTCGAGGCTCTTGCAGGCAGAAATGTTTTCCTCGCCGCTGCCACGCTGCGCCCGGAGACCATGTACGGGCAGACAAACGCTTGGGTGCTGCCTGACGGGCAGTATGGCGCGTTTGAAGTGAACGAAGCGGGCGACGTGTTTGTGGTAACCAAGCGATCGGCTCTGAACCTCTCCTACCAGTTTCACTCCAAGGTGAAGCAAGCACCCACTGTGTTCCGAGCAACCCCGGTCTTGGTAGTGGCTATTTTGTCACTAATGTATCACCCGTGCCTTCCATCCCTCAGCCGTATACTATCATTCTCTGTCCCCCCAAGAGTTTGGCAAGCCGCAGTGCCTGCTGGAACTGTCAGGACACGACCTGATTAAACTCTTCACCACCCACCCAGAACCACTCATTACCCAACTCAACCCCTTCACCTGTGCTGGCCTCCTCTCTCCAACGTGGTCTTCCTCCCTGCAGGAGTTCGGCAAGCCGCACTGCCTGCTGGAGCTGACGGGGCTCGACCTGATTGGGCTGCCTCTCAAGGCGCCTCTGACGCCCAACCCGGTCATCTACGCCCTGCCCATGCTCACCATCCTCACGGACAAAGGTGTGTTGCTCACCCCATGCTCACCAAAGGTATCTCGTGCTCAAAAGTCCTTTCGGAAACAATGCCCCTTGTGAAGTGGAGCTGGAGAGCTGAGAGTTTATTTGCAATCCCCTTCCTCATCATCTACATTTGCCACTTTCTCACTTGGATCTTCTCTCCTCTCTGTGTGTCTCTTGCACTTGTCCCCTACCACTGCCACATCACATGCACCTGACATGACGTACATGCATGGCACATGCATGCAGGCACGAGGATGGCGACGAGTGTGCCCAGCGATTCACCAGACGACTACATGGCTCTTGTCCTCTCTGGCTCTCCTCCCCTCTCACTCACTCTTCTGCCCCTGTATACTCTCCCCCCCCCCCCCCCACCACCTGCAGGCACGGGAGTGGTGACGAGTGTGCCCAGTGATGCACCAGATGACTACATGGCACTGCAGGACCTCAAGAGCAAGCCGGGTATGCATACATACATACGTACAAGCATGCATGTGTGCATAAGGTGTGGAATGGCGGCACCACACCAACGAGTGTGCCCAGCGATGCACCAGATGAGAACATGGCTCTGCAGGGCCTCAAGAGCAAGCTCGGTGAGTCGTGTGGTACATGCATACGTAGATTCATTCGTACAACTGTACGTACATGCACATGCACATGCATGCACATACATACCTGCATAGGCTTTCCCCCATCAGTTTCCCCATCAGTTTCCCTATCACTTTCCCCATCAGCTTCAGCATGAGGTTCAGCATGAGGTTCAGCATGAGGTTCAGCATGAGGTTCAGCATGAGGTTCAGCATGAGGTTCAGCATGAGGTTCAGCATGAGGTTCAGCATGAGGTTCAGCATGAGGTTCTGCATGAGGTTCTGCATGAGGTTCAGCATGAGGTTCTGCATGAGGTTCTGCATGAGGTTCAGCATGAGGTTCAGCATGAGGTTCAGCATGAGGTTCTGCATGAGGTTCTGCATGAGGTTCAGCATGAGGTTCTGCATGAGGTTCAGCATGAGGTTCAGCATGAGGTTCAGCATGAGGTTCAGCATGAGGTTCTGCATGAGGTTCAGCATGAGGTTCTGCATGAGGTTCTGCATGAGGTTCAGCATGAGGTTCAGCATGAGGTTCAGCATGAGGTTCTGCATGAGGTTCTGCATGAGGTTCTGCATGAGGTTCTGCATGAGGTTCAGCATGAGGTTCAGCATGAGGTTCAGCATGAGGTTCAGCATGAGGTTCTGCATGAGGTTCTGCATGAGGATCAGCATCAGGTTCTGATGGTGCATATCCCTGCCCACTCTTACTCCATCCATTTCTATCCATTCCCATAGCCGTCCCCATCCTCATCCCCATCCCCATATCATGCCCATCCATCCATACTCCGTCCGAGCGACCCCCAGCCCTGCGAGGGTCAACGTGAAGGAAGAGTGGGTGTTGGCCTTTGACGTCATCTCTTATTGCACTGGCTCATTTCCCTTGTCCACTCCTCCACTCCTTTGCACCGTTCCCGCTCCTGGCGTACTGTCCCCAACCTCACCCCACCCCACCCCACCCCACCTCACCCCGCCCCAGCCCTGCGAGCAAAGTTCAACGTGAAGGACGAGTGGGTGCTGCCCTTCGAGGTGATCTGCTCTTGCACGTGCTCCGTCCCTGCCCTTTCTCCACTCCTCCACCCCTCTGTACCGTTGCTGCTCCTGGTTTACTGTTCCCAACCCCAACCCAACCCACCCCACCCCACCCCACCGCACCCCAGCCCTGCGAGCCAAGTTCAACGTGAAGGATGAGTGGGTGCTGCCATTCGAGGTCATCCCCATTATAAACATCCCCGAGTTTGGCGATGCAGCGGCAGTCAAAGTGTGCCAGGACCTCAAGATCCAGAGCCAGAACGACAAGGAGAAGCTGGCCGAGGCTAAGAGACTCACTTACCTCAAGGTGGGTGACTGGCTAAGACGTATCTCAAGGTGAGTGAATGGCTAAGACTTATCTTAAGGTGGGTGAATGGCTAAGACTTATCTCAAGGTGAGTGCAGAAGAGCAATGCATCCTTGGTGCACTGAGGTTTGAGTCACAAAGACCTACTGAACGAGGTTTGAGTCACAAAGACTTACTGAACGACGTTTGAGTCACAAAGACCTACTGAACACAGCTGGCACGGTGTCTATCAAAACTGCACTGTTGCTTCTGTTCTGAGTTTCCCTTCTCCCACTTGTCCAGTGTTGCTCAGCCCAAACACAATCATTCCTCTTCCATGTCTTTCCTTCATCCCGTGCGTGCAGGGTTTCACGGACGGAGTGATGCTGGTGGGCGAGCTCAAGGGGACCAAGGTGCAGGACGCCAAGCCGCAGATCAAGAAGGTATGTGCACCCTGTGGTGATGTCAGCTGATTTCTTTTGTTGAGGCGCCTTAAAAGAAACAGGACGGCAAGCCACGAATCAAGAAGGTGCATGCGCCACAGAATGGTGTTGTCTCAGAACGAACAAGTCTGTGTCAAGGTCTGGATTGAGTGTGTTCTTGCGCATACGCACATCGGAGTGGTACCTGACTATTCCTCTCCGCACCCTTCCCCTGCTCTTGTTCCCTCTCCACTTCCCTCCTCCCGCGAACTGTTGATTAAGCGCAGTGAGAGAAGTGCCATACAGCGAGCCAGAGAAGCGGGTTGTTTGACGGTCATGGGACGAGTGTGTGGTGGCGCTGGCTGACCAGTGGTACCTCACATACGGCTTCCCTTCCCTCTCCCTTCCTTCTCCCTCCCTCCAGTTGTTGATCGAAAGAGGTGAGGCAGTGCCCTACAGCGAGCCAAAAAAGTGAGTCACATCGCGGTCGGGAGACTGCTTTTGAGTCGACTCAAAAGCAGTGCCCTACAGCGAGCCAAAAAAGTGAGTCACATCGCGGTCGGGAGACGAGTGCGTGGTGGCGCTGACGGATCAGTGGTACCGCTTTTGAGTCGACTCATGCGCTGACGGATCAGTGGTACCGCTTTTGAGTCGACTCATGCGCTGACGGATCAGTGGTACCTCACGTGCTGGTCTGTCTTGCCTCTCCACCACTTCTCCTCCCCCCTACAGCTTCTGGTTGAACGAGGTGAAGCAGTACCCTACAGTGAACCAGAGAAGAGGGTGACATCGCGGTCAGGAGATGAGTGTGTGGTGGCTCTCACAGACCAGTGGTACCTCACGTACGGCGAGGAGCAGTGGCGCGCCCTGGCAGAGGAGTGCCTTGCGGGCATGCAGCTTTACAACGAGGAGACCCGGCACGGGTTCCAGCACACGCTGGGGTGGCTTGATAGGGTGAGATATTGTGGAAGGAATGGGGATGGGCGGAATGAGAGGGAAGGGAGGGGGCACGGGAGAAAGGGCGCTGGCAGAGGAGTGTCTGGCGGGCATGCAGCTTTACAACAAGGAGACGCGGCACGGGTTCCAGCACACGCTGGGATGGCATGACAGGGTGAGTGAGAGATTGTGTGAAGGATAGGGGTGGGCTGGGCGAAAGAAAGGGAATGGAGGGGGCGTGCAGTGCAGGGAAAGGGCGCTGACAGAGGAGTGTCTGGCGGGCATGCAGCTTTACAACGAGAAGACGAGGCATGGGTTCCAGCGCACGCTGGGATGGCTTGATAGGGTGAGTGGGCGGTTGGGGAATAGGGGAGGGAGCAGGGCAGTAGGGTGTGCTGTGCAGGCAGAGGAGTGTCTGGCGGGCATGCAGCTGTACAACGAGGAGACCCGGCACGGGTTCCAGCACACTCTGGGATGGCTGGATAGGGTGAGATAGTGAGGGTGATAGGGTGAGAGATGGGGGGGGAGGAGAATAGGGGTGGACGGATAGGAAGGAAATGGAGGGGGTGTCTCGCTATTTATCCTTCCATGGCCCCCGTGGGTGTTTCTGTGGTCTAATCCTCGATCTTCCTTCCTCTGCCTCCTTTTTCGTCCCTTCCCTGTCCTGTCCCAGTGGGCGTGCTCGCGCTCCTTCGGCCTGGGCACGCGCATCCCATGGGACCCGCAGTTCCTCATTGAGTCGCTCTCTGATATTCCTGCCGCAACTCTTCCTCCCATTTTCCCCTCTTTCCCTCCTCCCTCCCATCTCCCAGTGGGCGTGCTCACGTTCCTTCGGCCTGGGCACGCGCATCCCGTGGGACCCACAGTTCCTCATTGAGTCGCTCTCCGACAGCACCATCTACATGGCCTACTACACGCTCTCGCATATTCTCCAGGTGAGATGGGTGGGTTGAGTGCGGTGATTCAGGCACCCAGATGAGTGAGGTGTCTTATGAGTCGCTGTCTGACAGCACCATCTACATGGCCTACTACACGCTCTCTCACATCCTGCAGGTGAGTAAGATGGGTCTGAGTGCGATCCTTCAGGTGCACCTGCTGATTGACTTTTGGGAATTCTAAGAAGTGACTTTGATATGCTGTCACACAGCACAGCACCACCTATACGGCCACATGCTGTCTCACATCACATCACATCCTCCATGTGATGTGAGGTTTCAGGTGAGTCCTCAACCTGACTGCAACTCCCACGCCTTCCACTTCCACTCGTCAATCCCCCCCGTACTTGCCTCTTAATCAGGAGGGAGACATCTTTGGCACGTCATTCAAGCAGAGCATCAAGCCGGAGCACCTCTCCCATGAAATGCACTCGGCCTGACTGCCTCTCCCATCCCATGCATTCCCCTGCTCTCGCCAATCACCCCCTATTTACACTTAATCAGGAGGGCGACATCTTTGGCACGTCAGGCAAGCAGAGCATCAAGCCGGAGCACCTCTCCCACGCCCTCTGGGACCATCTGCTGCAGGGCGCTCCCAAGCCCGCCGATTGCCCTGTGCCTGATGACGTGCTGCAGGTGAGGGGTGTGAGGGAGATGGGGCCACTGGGGTGGTGTGTGTGAGGCAGAGGAGGAAGAGCAGGTGAGGGAGATGGGTGGGTGTAGGTGAGGCAGTAAGTGTGTGCAGGTGAATGGTCGCTTCTCCTTTATGAGGTCGGCTGTGCACCCTGCTCCCCTCTGGGACCATCTGCTGCTGGGCGTGCCCAAGCCCGCCGACTGCCCTGTCCCTGATTATGTGCTGCAGGTGAGGGGTGTGAGGGCAATTGGCGAGTGAATGACAGGAGCGGATGTGGTAGTGATGCTGTTTGATTTGAGCAGCCAGACCGGAATTTAGTGGGTGTTGGTCATTGTTCCACACTGTTTCTATCTTCTTGTCTCCTAAACTAAACCCCCCTTAAACCCCTGAACCCTTGACAGCCCGCGCGGGCGGAGTTTGAGTACTGGTACCCGTTTGACCTGTGCGTGTCGGGGAAGGACCTAACACCCACCTCACCCTCTGGCTCTTCCTTCTCCTCAAACCTCCCCCCCAAACCCCCCCAAACCCCCCCAAACCCCTCCAAACCCCTCCAAACCCCTGAAACCCCTTGACAGCGTGCGCGGGCGGAGTTTGAGTACTGGCACCCGTTTGACCTGTTTCACATTTTGTCTTCCTTCTGTTCCCGAATTCCCAAACCCTCTTGACATGGCAGCGTGCGCGGGCGGAGTTTGAGTACTGGTACCCGTTTGACCTGCGCGTGTCGGGGAAGGACCTAACACCCACCTCACCCTCTGGCTCTTCCTTCTCCTCAAACCTCCCCCCCAAACCCCCCCAAACCCCCCCAAACCCCCCCAAACCCCTCCAAACCCCTCCAAACCCCTGAACCCCCTTGACAGCGTGCGCGGGCGGAGTTTGAGTACTGGTACCCGTTTGACCCGTTTCACATTTTGTCTTCCTTCGGTTCCCGAATCCCCAAACCCTCTTGACATGGCAGCGTGCGCGGGCGGAGTTTGAGTACTGGTGCCCGTTTGACCTGCGCGTGATCAACAACCACCTCACCTTCGCCCTCTTCCTTTCCTCCCCCCAAACCCCCCAAAACCCCGGAACCCGTGGCAGCGTGCACGCGCGGAGTTTGAGTACTGGTACCCGTTTGACCTGCGAGTGTCGGGGAAGGATCTGATCAACAACCATCTCACCTTCGCCATCTACAATCACACCGCCATGTTCCCCAAGGTTCGTTTCGTTATAAGCACTGCCACCTCTATACAATCACATTGCAATCACACCGCCGTGTTCCCCAAGGTTCGTTATAAGTATGCAGCTTTATTAATTTTGCGCGTTATGTCTCCAATTCTATTCATGTAAGCTGAGCTTGCGGCAATAGGTGGTACAATGCGTTTGCCTTTGGATGGGATGGGACGGGTTGTGCCTTGTCCTGATTCGTATGCCTCTCATCATGGTCACACTTTCACGCTCCTGTCACCACACCACACCCTGCACCACACCACACTCTACACCACACCGCACGCTACACCACCCCACACCCCACACCACCCCACACCCTACACCACGCCACACCACACCACACCACACCACACCACACAACAGGAGCAATGGCCAAGGGGATTCCGCACCAACGGACATCTGCTGCTCAACTCCGAAAAGATGTCAAAGTCGACCGGCAACTTCAAGACCATCCGCCAGGCCATCGGTGAGATGTGCTGTCACGCACGCCCCTTTATGCGTGCTACTAGGTTGGATAGGGTATGTCTCTCTTTTTGACTGGGAGGCCATCTGCTGCTCAGCTTGGAGAAGATGTCCCAATCCACGGCAACTTCAAGTCCATCCGCCAGGCCATCGGTATGTCCTCACATTACACCCCTTTCCCACCTGATGGGCTGCATGTAGGTTACCAGGGTGTGTGTCTGTGCGCGCCCATGTTGACTTGAAGGCCATTTCATCTGCTGCTCAACTCGGAGAAGATGTCCAAGTCGACTGGCAACTTCAAGACCATCCGCCAGGCCATTGATGAGTTTACCAGCTCTTTCCCCGTGTGGTAGATTGTATGTAGGTTACAAGGTTAGGTACGGTGTGTGTCCCTGTGTTGCCCCAAAGGAGCCCTCTGCTGCTCAACTCGGAGAAGATGTCCAAATCCACTGGCAACTTCAAGACCATTCGCCAGGCCATTGGCACGTGCTTCGCCCTTGACCTTTACCTGCTTTTATTTATGTTGCCACACGTCTCCCTGGAAGGAGTTTTCTTTGAACTTGACTTGGCTTCACCCTTGCGGATGGGACTTTGACTTGACGTGACACAGCGTTCCCATCCCAGGACCCTGTTCACTCATCCTTCAACCGCCCTCCCATTGGCCATATCCTGCTCTTCACCCCCTCTTGCAGAGGAGTTCTCATCGGACGCGACTCGCTTTGCCTTGGCTGATGCGGGTGACACTCTGTTCCTTGCACTTGTCCGCTAACCCCTGTCCGGTTGCACACCCCCCCCCCCGCCGTTGCCACCTCCCCCTCCCTCTTCCCCCCTCCTCCTTCAGAGGAGTTCTCTTCGGACGCCACCCGCTTCGCCCTGGCGGATGCAGGAGACACGGTGGATGATGCTAATTTTGTGGAGGAGACTGCCAACGCCGCCATTCTGAGGCTCACAAAGTGAGTCAGCCTGCTTGGGCTGTGGGGTTGCATGGTGAGGTACGGGCAGTTTGCTTTTCAGCTCCATGTGGGCTGGCTTGTGGAATGCAGATGCGAGCGACACGGTGGACGACACAAACTTCGAGGAGACTGCCAACACTTGTGAGGCAACAGTGGATGATCGTGATGCTCACAGAGTAAGAGGAGTTCAGATTGTGAGAGGCTGTTTGAGCTGCACTGAGAGTGGGGCAGAGAGTAGAGTGGGACTTGGGCCGGAGCTTGGGTTGTTAAGTGCTCGTGCGGGTGACACGGTGGATGATGCCGAATTTGTGCAGGAGACTGCCAATTGCTATTCTCAGGCTCATACGCAGTCCTCACCATCTTTCAGTTAGTTCTGTCTTCAACCTGCTCCGTATTCAAATCACCCTCTGCTTGGTGGTGCTGTCCACCAATCTTATCAACTCACAGGGAGATGACGTGGATGGAGGAGGTGGGCTGGCATCCGCAGCCACAGAGGGGGGCCTAAGGACCAAGCTGACTGCGTGTTTGAGAACAAGATCAAGCTGTGGCTCTTCCGTCACACCACCCTCCCTTCCCTGCCCCGCTCTTTACTTCACCCCTCAGGGTTTGCATTTCGAGCTAATTCAAGCGCCGTCTCTGCTTTCTTCCTTCCCTTCCGCACACCCCTCTTCCCACAGGGAGATGACGTGGATGGAGGAGATCCTAGCATCAGCAGCCACAGAGGGAGATCTGCGCACCGGAGACGAGCGGTCGTTCGCAGACCGCGTGTTTGAGAACGAGATCAACCTCGCTGTGGCTCTTCTTTCACGCCTCCCTCCCTGCCCCACCCTTCACCCCTCAGTGTTTAACTTTCGAGACGGTTCAAGCGCCGCCTCTTATGCTTTCTTCCTTCCCTGCCCCCTTTGTCAACTCACAGGGAGATGACGTGGATGGAGGAGGTGCTGGCGTCAGCACAGCAGCCACAGAGGGGTGTCTGAGGACCAGAGGCAAACAATTGCTCATCTCATGCCTCCCTCCTTCCCTCCCACCCCCCCTTCACTCCGCAGGGAGATGACGTGGATGGAGGAGGTCCTAGCATCAGCAGCCACAGAGGGAGGTCTGCGCACCGGAGACGAGCGATCGTTTGCCGATCGGGTGTTTGAGAACGAGATCAACCTCGCTGTGGCTCTTTCCAAAGCGGCTTTCGACAACATGCTGTTCCGCGAGGCCCTCAAAACAGGCTTCTTCGACCTGCAGGTAAAGCATTCGCCCCTATAGGTGCGTGCATTCACTCGCAGGTGCTTGCAGTCACTCAGGGTTGGTCATTCACATCACAGACCATCCTGTGTTTCTGTTTATCCTCTCCTAAGTCCAATGGAGCCCCTGACAGGAGCCATGTCTTTACGTGGCTGCGACTGATTCAGATTGTAAAAGGGTTTGTTAGTTAAAAAAAGGGTTTGTTAGTTAAAAAACCTGTGTTTCTGTTTATCCTCTCCTAACCTCTATCTTCACTTACCTACCCTCCCAGCTCGCTCAAGGCGAGTACCGGCTGTCATGTGGGGGGCAGTGGGCCAGCTCTATCTCCTACAATGCACCTCCCATCCCTTTGTCCTTCCCTCCCCTCTCAACCCTCCCAGCTTGCATGCGACGAGTACCGCCTGTCATGCGGCGCAGCAGGCACGCACAAGTACCTGCTGATGTCTTCAGTGGTGTATTCCGCCTCTCATCTGCCTCTTTGTCTCCCCTCACTATCCTTCCGCCTCTACCCTCCCAGCTTGCACAAGACGAGTACAGGCTGTCATGCGGGGCAGCGGGCATGCACAAGGACCTTCTGTTGCCTTGGGTCTATTCCGCCTCTTATTTATCCCTTTATCCTCGCTTTGTTCTCCCTCCTCTCCATCTTCCCAGCTTGCGCGCGACGAGTACCGGCTGTCGTGCGGAGCAGCGGGCATGCACAAGGACCTGCTGATGCGCTTCTGCAAAGTGCAGACGCTGCTGCTCATGCCGGTGCGATGGGGGTGATGGGGGTGATGTGATGGGGGTGATGTGATGTGATGGGGGTGATGGGAATGATGGGGGTGATTGGGGGTGATGTGATGGGGATGATGTGATGTGATGGGGGTGAAGTGATGTGATGGGGGTGAAGTGATGTGATGGGGGTGATGTGATGTGATGGGGGTGATGGGGGGTGATGGTGGTGATGGGGGTGATGGGGGGGTGATGGGGGTGATGGGGGTGATGGGGGTGATGGGGTGATGGGGGTGATGGGGGTGATGTGATGTGATGGGGGTGATGGGGGTGATGTGATGGGGGTTATGGGGGTGATGGGGGTGATGGGAGTGATGGCGGTGATGGGGGTGATGTGATGGGGGTGATGGGGGTGATGTGATGTGATGTGATGGGACTGGGGCGAACGGGGTGGGTCTGAAACTCATGCACACGAGCATGCACTAGGACCTTCCTTTGCGCTTTTGCTAAGTGCCGGTGCTGCTGCTGCTCATGCCGGTGCTTTGGGGTGGTGGGATGATCGGGGTGCTGGGTTGGTGAAATAAGATGCTGTTGGTATTCATGCCCATGCAAATACACATGTGCGTGCACTTGCTCATGCCCATGCACAAAGAAAGCTGTGATGCTGATGGTAGCTCATCTTTCACCACCACCCTGTTGTGTGCCCATGCCCATGCCCATGCAAATACACATCCCCTCCGCGCTTTCATTGTGCGTCATTTTTCCAGATCTGCCCGCATTACGGAGAGCACGTGTGGAGAAACATTTTGAAGCTGCCCGGGGCAGGCATCACAGCGGGATGGCCGGAAGCAGCGCCGGCTGACATGACCCTCAAGGCGGCCAATACGTACCTGCAGGTGTGGGGGTGTGCACCTGTGCGTGTTGTTCATGGTTCTGAGCGTGCATGCGTGTTGACTATCCGTGCTTTACACCGGAAGCAGCGCCTGCCGTCATGACCCTCAAGGCGGCCAACACATACCTGCAGGTATAGGTCATGGGTGTGCGGGGTGTGTGAGTGAGCATGCATGCTTACACGTTTACTTTGCCTTGCATCGCATCAGAAGCAGCACCGGCTGACATGGCCCTCAAGGCCGCCAACATGTATCTGCAAGTGTGTATGTGTATACTTGCATACGTGCATGTGTGCATGCGTGTGTTACCTAGAGCTGTACCGGACGCAGCACCGGCTGACATGACCGTCAAGGCCGCCAAACATGTATCTGCAAGTGGGGAGGTATGCACCTGTAGATGTGTGCATATGTGCTCTGGAAGGGCACACCTCCCTGCTCGCTCTTCCCACCTCTTCATTCTCTCCCCTCTTCCCCCCTTCCTTGTATATCACAGGACTGCATAGTTGATTTCCGCAAGCTCATCACCAAGCAGGCATCAGCGGGAGGAGGAAAAGCCAAGGGGGGGAAGGCAGCGGCAGTACCAAAGGAGGCGCCAAAGATAGCGGTGGGGGTGGTGTTTGTGGCCGAGCAGTACGGCGGGTGGCAGGCGGAGTGCCTTGGGCTGCTGCAGAAGCATTTCGACGCGGAGAAGCGGGTGTTTAATGATGATGCTGGGCTGCTTGACGCTCTTAAAGCCAGCCCTGTGGGGCAGGTAAGGCAGTGGGGGGTAAGGGGAAAGGGGAGGGTGGGAGAAGGGGGGGAAGGGTGGGAGAGGGTGGGGAAGGTGGGGGGAGAGTGGGAAGTGGTGAAGAGGGATAAGGGAAGAGGGGGAAAGGGTTCTCCTGCAGCAGTACGGTGGGTGGCAGGCGGAGTGCCTTGGGCTGCTGCAGAAGCACTTTGATGCGGAGAAGCGGGTATTCAATGATGATGCTGGGCTGCTGGACGCACTTAAAGCCAGCCCTTTTGGCCAGGTAAGACAAGGGGAAAGGGCAGGGCAGGGGGTGTGTCTGGAGCTGCTGCAGTGCTATTTCTATGCGGAAAAGCAGGTGTTTAAGGATGATGCTGGTCTGTTGGACGCTCTTAAAGCCAGCCCTGTGGGGCAGGTAAGACGAGAGGGGAGAGAAGAGGGAGAACCCAGTGGAGTGAAGGAAGGAAGGCGACGGGAATAGAGTCCGGAATTTGGGGCTGATGCTGCAGACTCTTGAGTCGACTCAAAAGTCAACTAAGGAAGGGGACGGGAATAGAGCCCGGAATTTGGGGCTGATGCTGCAGACTCTTGAGTCGACTCAAAAGTCAACTAAGGAAGGGGACGGGAATAGAGTCTGGAATTTGGGGCTGATGCTGCAGACTCTTGAGTCGACTCAAAAGTCAACTAAGGAAGGGGACGGGAATAGAGTCCGGAATCTGGGGCTGATGCTGCAGACTCTTGAGTCGACTCAAAAGTCAACTAAGGAAGGGGACGGGAATAGAGTCCGGAATTTGGGGCTGATGCTGCAGACTCTTGAGTCGACTCAAAAGTCAACTAAGGAAGGGGACGGGAATAGAGCCCGGAATTTGGGGCTGATGCTGCAGACTCTTGAGTCGACTCAAAAGTCAACTAAGGAAGGGGACGGGAATAGAGTCTGGAATTTGGGGCTGATGCTGCAGACTCTTGAGTCGACTCAAAAGTCAACTAAGGAAGGGGACGGGAATAGAGTCCGGAATTTGGGGCTGATGCTGCAGACTCTTGAGTCGACTCAAAAGTCAACTAAGGAAGGGGACGGGAATAGAGTCTGGAATTTGGGGCTGATGCTGCAGACTCTTGAGTCGACTCAAAAGTCAACTAAGGAAGGGGACGGGAATAGAGTCTGGAATTTGGGGCTAATTCTGCAGACTCTCTTTCCTCCTCTTGCTATTGCTGTCATAATTTCCTGCCACCACCACTTCATAACCCTAGACGTTCCTGTCTCTCCTCCTCTCACACTTCTTCTGGTTTTCCTATCGCTACCACTTTTCAGCACCTGGATTTCAAGAAGCTGATGGGGCATTGCATGGGGTTGATCCCACACTGACTCACATCCCCTATCCCCTTTCTCCTCCCCTCACGCTCCCCTTCCCCTTCTCCCATTCTCCCATCCCTGCCACCACCCGCCAGCGCCCGGACTTGAAGAAGCTGATGGGGCATTGCATGGGGTTCATTCCACACTGAGTCATTCCCCCTTCCCCCCCTCTCCTCCCCTCACGCTCCCCTCCCCCCTCACCACCGCCAGCGCCCGGACTTTAAGAAGCTGATGGGGCAGTGCATGGGGTTCATCCGATTCAAGAAGGATGCTGCTCTGCTGCACGGCGCCCAGGTCAGGCGCTGGATGTTTTTGAGAATTCTCAAAAACACCGCTCAGATTGATCTGCTGTCTGCCGCCCTGATGTGTCCTCTGCCGTGCATCCCTCAAGGCTATGGCCTGCTGCCCTTGTTGCTCTGAACTTCAAGCTTGGTCCTCCGCATATCACCTCATCCACCGCATAATACCTCGTTCCACCGCACATCACCTCGTTCCACCGCACATCACCTCGTTCCACCAAACTTCACTCCATTCCACCGCTCACCCCATCAGGCTCTGGACGTGAAGCTGCAGTTTGACGAGGCCAACGTGCTGCGGGAGAATGCTGACCTCATCAAGGTGAGACACTGTTCCCATGCTGATGTCATGCGTATGATGACGTGGCACCAGCGTCCTGATTGGAGCATGCCATTCTGCTGATCAGCACTTACCAGAGTATGCGCATCATTGTACGTCTGAGTGCGTCTCCGTATCGGGCTGGTGTCATGTGAGCGATTTTCGGTGTTCCGCACAGCACAGCACAGCACAGCACACAGCACAGCACAGCACAGTTTCTGCATGTGCCCAACCCAAGTGCAACTGTTCCTCACTGCATTCTCGTGGCTTGTGCACAACAGCGCCAGCTGCAGCTGGATCAGTTCTCGGTGTTTCTCACATCAGATGCCGATGCCGTTGCTGCCATTCATGTGCCTAATTCCTCTCCTGCCTCTGCATTCCTGTGTATACATGTGTCTTGTGAGCAACAGCGCCAGCTGCAGCTGGATCAGTTCTCGGTGTTTCTCACATCAGATGCCGATGCCGTTGCTGCCATTCATGTGCCTAATCCCTCTCCTGCCTTCCTCTGCATTCCTGTGTATACATGTGTCTTGTGAGCAACAGCGCCAGCTGCAGCTGGATCAGTTCTCGGTGTTTCTCACATCAGATGCCGATGCCGTTGCTGCCGTCAACTCCAAGGACGCCGCCCGCATCTCTGCTGCTGTGCCAGGTGTGTTGCACTTGAGGTTGATTCAGGAGGAGGGGGGGTGGGGGGGTGGGAGGGGGGGGGGGAGGATAGGGAGGGGAGGTTAGGATGTTTCTCACATCAGATGCTGATGCTATTGCTGCTATCAACTCCAAGGACTCCGCCCGCATCTCTGCCGCTGTGCCGGGTGTGTTGTGTGCCACTTGGGTGTAGGGGGAGGGAGGAAGGGGTGGGGGAGGAGGGGGGATGTTCCTCGCATTGAATTGGACTGTGGTGTCGTTCCGTGTGTCAGTCCCACAGGTGTGTGTTGCACAGGTGTGTGTTCCGCAGGTGTGTGTTGCACAGGTGTGTGTTGCACAGGTGTGTGTTGCACAGGTGTGTGTTGCACAGGTGTGTGTTGCACAGGTGTGTGTTGCACAGGTGTGTGTTGCACAGGTGTGTGATGCACAGGTGTGTGATGCGCGGGTGTGTGTTGCACGGGTGTGTGTTGCACGGGTGTGTGTTGCACGGGTGTGTGTTGCACGGGTGTGTGTTGCACGGGTGTGTGTTGCACGGGTGTGTGCTGCACGGGTGTGTGTTGCACGGGTGTGTGTTGCACGGGTGTGTGTTGCACGGGTGTGTGTTGCACAGGTGTGTGTTGCACAGGTGTGTGTTGCACAGGTGTGTGTTGCACAGGTGTGTGTTGCACAGGTGTGTGTTGCACAGGTGTGTGTTGCACAGGTGTGTGTTGCACAGGTGTGTGTTGCACAGGTGTGTGTTGCACAGGTGTGTGTTGCACAGGTGTGTGTTGCACGGGTGTCTTGTGAGGGTCTCATGCGTGAAGGGAATGTTATCATGAGTGGGCGAGTCTAAATGGTGGTTTGGAACTGCAAGTTGGAAGTTGGAGTTGAGGAGTTCAAATTCATGTCTCGTATTTCCGATGTTCTGCTGCACTATGCTTGTCTGTCTGTGATGTTCAGGCTCCCCTGTTGCTATCTTCTCAGCTGCAGCTTAAGCATCACCCTGGAAACAGGGCCTATTTTATCAGGGTAAATCACCCTGATGCCCTGATGCCCTGATGAACAGGGTGGTTTTTAGGTAGTGACACTGATGCGGTAGGGTAATTTTTTTAGGACCTTCATTTACCCAGATGTGCCAGGGTTTACGATTGTGCTACACTGTCGCCTCAGGGTTGCCGATCCTCTTATCTAGTTTTACCCTGAAGCGACTTCCAGCCAACCCCCGACCCCCCCCCCCCCCCCAACCTTCCCCTAACCCCCCTACCCAGTAACCTGGGAATCCCCTTTGCAAACTGTCATAACTGTAAATTTCGGCACGACATTACGTGTGCTGGTACGAAGTGGGCCACCATTGGCCTTGAAAAATTGTTACACTGATGACCCAGGGTAGAATTTTCTGGGTCTGCAAAAACCCTGACAGATCAGGATTTTCACTGAGGGATACTCTGATAATCAGGATTTTGATGATGTGCAACACTGATCGTAAGGGTTGGCTAAAACCAAAAATTAGCCCTGCCTAGAGATCTTTTGCAGTTCATGTCTGTTGCAGGTCTTGAAACATCTGTTGCAATAATACACGATTATTGTCAAATGTTGTAGCCTGTAGTGAGGTTTGTCTTAGGGGGTACAGAAGTTAGGGTTTGTCATATGTACCCCAACCAACATCAATGGACACACCATTCCTCATTCTGACATGGTATCAGCTAGGTTAGGATCCTGTGGGATCCCGTTCCTCTGTTCTCCGTTCGTACCTCCCGAGCCTGATCCTACCTCTCGTTCGTACCAGTTCCGTTGTTACCGAGCCTAGCGCCCTTTCCCCCGTCGCTTAGCGCCCTTTCTCCCCGTCGCCTAGCGCCCCCCCCCCCCCCCCCCCCCCCCCCTCCCGTCGCGTCGCGCCCTTTCCCCCCCCCCGTCACGCCCTTTCCCCCCGTCGCGTCGCGCCCGTTCCCCCCGTCGCGTCGCGCCCGTTCCCCCCGTCGCGTCGCGCCCGTTCCCCCCGTCGCGTCGTGCCCACCTGTTCCCCCCCCGTCCCGTCGCCCTGTCCCGTCGCGTCGCCCTACCCCGTCCCGTCACCCTGTCCCGTCCCGTCGCCCTGTCCCGTCGCGTCGCCCTACCCCGTCGCGTCGCCCTGCCCCGTCCCGTCGCCCTGCCCCGTCGCGTCGCCCTGTCCCGTCGCGTCGCCCTGCCCCGTCGCGTCGCTCCCGCCCTTTCCCCCGTCGCGTCGCCCTGCCCTACGCCCTGGCCCGTCGCCCTGCCCTAAGCCCTGGCCCGTCGCCCTACCCTAGGCCCTGGCCCGTCGCCCTCCCTAAGTCCTGGCCCGTCGCCCTACCCTAGGCCCTGGCCCGTCGCCCTACCCTAGGCCCTGGCCCGTCGACCTACCCTAGGCCCTGGCCCGTTGCCCTACCCTACGTACTGGCCCGTCGCTCTAGCCCGCTCTTCCGCTGCGACTGAGTCCTCTTCCCCCCCGGTTGTTACTCGCCTGTTCGTTCGCTTTAGTCCTCACTATGGAGACCTTGCCTCCGTTCGTGACGCGCTTCTGCTGAAGCACCCTAGTGAGCTGACTATCGAGGTCCTTGAGTCTGCACTCAAGGACGTCGAGAGCAACCTTCGTTCGGTAGCTGCCGCCTCTGGTACTGTGTCCCCCCCACTCTTCCACGGGTGCACAGTCCCGCAGTTACCCACCTTCACTGCCTCTCTTGCCACTGCCGCTACTGACGCGACTGCGGCTGCTGTTACGACTGCGTCGCGGTCCCGCGGCAGGGGGGGCAAGAAAGGTGGTTCTGGTGGAGGTGGAGGCGGAGGTAGCGGAGGTAGTGGGGGTGCTGTTGCAACTGGGGGTGGTGGGAGTGCAGCGTCTGGAGAGACCCCTCGTGCAGCGGCTGGTGACTCCACTGCACCTGCTGGTGGCGGCGACCCCCGAGCTCGTCAGTCGCCTCCTGTACTGCCGGCCCCGCTAGGTGGAGCAGCGGCGTGGTACCAGGCTCAGCGTCAGCAGCACCTTCAGCAGCAGCAGCAGCCCCTTTCCTCCCAGCAGCCTCAGCAGCAGCAGCGTCAGCAGCTGGCTCCGGGGTCGGGGCTGCGTCAGCCCCAGCGCGGTGCGGCTTACCCTCCCTGCCCCTACCAGGTTCAGACAGGTCCTCGTCGGGGCCACCCTTGTGGCCGCTTTCACCCCCCTGGTCAGTGCTTTGCTCAGCTCACTAACACGGTCCGGTTGAAATACGGGGTTGGCGGTCCTGCTCCTGACTGGCTTCCTCTGGTTCAGCGCTACGGCTCCGCTCTGTGGGGCATGTCTGCTGAGCAGTTAGTTGATCTGATTAATGCTCCTCATGCTATGTATGCTGTTGTTGACTCTAGTGTTTCTGACTCTGTTTACTCTGGTGTTGTTAGCTTAGGTGCTAGTCTTGCTCAGTTGCCTGTTGCTAGTGTAGGTACTTGTGTAGACTCTAGACCAGCGACTACCTCAGGGGACGCTTCGCTGTCGTTCACACTGGACTCTGGAGCCTCCCACTGCTTCTTCCGGGACAGCACGACACTTACACCACTTCATGCGCCTGTTTCTGTAGCGTTGGCTGATCCCACTACGGGACCAGTCACTGCCCGTCACACTACCACTTTACCGTGTCCTGCTGCTCCCTCCGGGTCTCTCACTGGGTTTCACGTCCCCTCGTTCTCCCGGAACTTGGTGGGCGTGCGACCCCTCGTGAGTCAGCACGTGGGTGTGTGGTTTGAGCCTTCTGGAGAGACTGCGGTGTGTGTTGACGGAGACTCTTACCAGCCTCTTGCTACCTTTACTGCTGAGCCGGGCTCGGGTCTCTACACTCTTCACACTGGCCCGCGTGCGCCGCAGCAGCAGCCGCAGCAGCAGCAGCAGCCGCAGCCGCAGCAGCAGCAGCAGTAGCAGCAGCACCAGCGGCCGCACCAGCAGCCCCCCCTACTGCCACTGCCCCCGGTTCCCCCCCCCGTTCGGGTCCCCGTGTCTCACCAGGTTGCTTCGTCCCCCCAGGTGTCTGTGTCGTGTCAGGTTCCTACGTCTGTTCCAGTCGCTGCGTCGTGCTCCTGCCGGTCGCTTGCCCACCCCACCGTTCTGTGGCACCACCGGATGGGGCACCCGTCCCTTCCTCGTCTGCGCGCTATGTCTAGTCAGCGTCTTGTCCTAGGCCTCCCACGTGTCTTGCCGTCGCTGCCGCCTTCGCTTGCGCCGCCGTGTCGTCCCTGCGTCGAGGGTAGGCTGCGCGCCACCCCTCACTCCTCCTCCCTTCGTCCGGCCACCGAGCCTTTTGAGACGCTTCACTTGGACGTCTGGGGCCCCGCCCCTCGTCTAGGCCCTGAGCGTGAGCGTTACTTTCTGGTGGTCGTTGACGACTTCTCCCGCTACACCACAGTGTTCCCACTGGCGAAGAAGTCTGAGGTGACTTCTACGCTGATCAGGTGGTTGCTCACCACCGAGGACACTCGTGGTCGTCGTGTCAGCTGTCTCCACTCCGGCCGTGGGGGTGAGTTTCGCTCCGGCATTCTCGCTGGATTCTGTCGCGAGCAGGGCATTCGTCAGTCCTGGACGCTTCCAGAGTCCCCACAGCAGAATGGGGTTGCTGAGCGCCGCATAGGCCTGGTCATGGAGATCGCCCGCACCTCCCTGACTCACGCCTGTGCCCCCCATTTTCTGTGGCCCTACGCGGTCAGGTACGCCGCGCACCAGCTGAACCTCTGGCCACGTGTCTCTCGACCAGAGGTTTCACCGACCAGTCTTTGGACAGGGTCCCCTGGTGTTGCGTCGCGGTTTCGTGTCTGGGGGTGCTTGGCTCTTGTCCGCGACACCTCCGCGGACAAGCTCTCGCCTCGTGCCGTCCCCTGTGTCTTCCTTGGTTTCCCTGAGGACTCCTCTGACTTCACCTTTTACCACCCTCCCTCTCACCGGTTCTTTGACTCCCGTGACGTCCGTTTCGAGGAGTCCACTCCGTACTACGTCAGGTACCCCAGTCGAGGTCTCCCGGTTCCTCCTCCCCCCCTCTTCCTGACTGCCGCTCCCCCTCCTGCTCCCCTGGTACAGCCTCCCCCCCCTGGCCCAGCCCCGTCAGGTGTGTCCCAGACTACCCCTCCTCCTTCGGTAGCCCCTCCGGTATAGCCTCCCTCCCCACAGTCCTCCTCGCAGCGTGCCGCTGGTGCTAGCTCTCGAGAGGTTGGTGCTGCGCCTGTTCCTGTACCGGTTTCTGGTTCTGGGGGTGCTGGAGTTGGAGCTGGTGTTGGAGCTGGAGGTGGAGCTGGAGTAGGCACTGGAGTTTCTGGTTCTGGGGGTGCTGGAGTTGGAGTTGGAGTTTCTGGTTCTGGATTTGGAGCTGACCCGGTGGGTGCAGAGGACTCTTGTCGTCCGGGAGCCGGTGCTGGCCGCGCGGACTCTGGGGGTGCTCCCTCTGGGGGTGAGGGTGCGCCTGCTTCGGGTTCTGGTGCGCCTGGGTCTGGAGCTGGTGTTAGTGCTGCCTCTGGGGGTGGTGCGCCTGGTTCTTCGGGGGTTGACTCTGGAGCTGCCGCTGCTTCGGACACTACTCCGCCCCCCCACCCCTACCCGACTAGGCACCAGGCTCGTGTTCGCCGTGCGCGTGACGAGCAGCTGGAGTTGGAGAGAGAGGAGAGGGAGTTACAGCGGCTGGCGGAGCAGTAGCAGCAGCTGGACCCGCAGGAGCAGCAGTCCCAGCAGCAGCCGCGTCCGCAGCAGCAGCACTCGCAGTAGCAGCAGCAGCAGCCACTTCCTCCTCCTGTCTCGGGTCTTCGGATCCTTGGTCTCCCCTCCCCTTCTCCTCCCTCCTCCGCCTCTCCTCCTGTCTACGGTCCCACGTTTCCTCCTCCTGACTCCTCCCC